TATTAGGCCTATACATACGATTGTTAACAACCGGTTCATGGAGGTCATTAAATTCTAAGAACAGGTTCGCACGAACCGGCTGAATCCCACCACTGGCCCTAATTATAAAATAGTTTTTGCTAGTCTTATTTCTTCTTTACTCAGGCATGTTCTATTTTAAATCTTGAACTAATTTCCACTATGCCTGAGAATGCTAAAATCATTTTGGATCATTCAGTTCTTGAATCTTTATATTTTCTAACTTCTCCTAGTTTTTAGGTCATTACTGATACTTTTAGAAATTACCTAAATGTTAAAAGCCTTTTAGCAGGGATATCTTACTTCTCAAGTTCTTGACCCTCAGACTGGGTTTCTGTGGGGGATCTTTCTCATGGTCTTCTACTTTGATCCATAGTTAGTTTTTTGCCTGGCACATTACGAAATTTTTTGTTTGAGACTTTCTTTTCCAGAATAATTATTACATATAAGCTGCTCTAGTTCTGATTTTTTGAGTCAGGATCAAATTTTTACCTTACAGTCTTCCTTAGCTATGGCTCTTACTGTTGTAGTCCTATTGGTGCATGCCTGTTATGTTCCTTTGACATATTAGCCTGTCCTGGTTTGTTACAAAGTGTTTGTCTCATCATACAACTTTTCAGCTGCCTTGAAAAAGATTCTTCCATGCATCATTTATCTTTGCAGGATTTTCACCCACACTAGTTTCCTATTCAATAGAAGCATACCAGCAGAAGCTAATTAGGGTTTTAGCATTTAATTAGGGTGTCAGTAATTTATTTCGATATAACCAGTATTTATAATGTTAGTCTTCCTGCCTTGTCTTCTATTACTTATTCCTTTAACTTGCCAACGATTATGTAAGCAAGATGGGTCTTAATCTTGACCTATTAAATGACTCTCTTCTGTATATAATATTTGATAGAATGAGAGCAAACTTAACAAGGAAGGGCTTTTTAGTATTTCAGAGGTAAATACCTGTTTGAAATTGATTTTAGCTCTAACAATGTTAAAATATAATGCTACACTGAAAGCATTTAATTAGAACTTTGTGATTTAGCCAATAATCTTCGGCTAGATCAGTTAAAAGTTGCCTTATACCAACACAACCAATATGACATTTTAGTATTTTGATAGATTCTGTTAGTTATTTAAGAAAAATTACAAATTTCAAATTACTATTTCAAGACAACATTTGGGATTTATGGTATTTCAACTGTTATATTTTGTTAAAGCAAAATTGCAAGTTTTAAAGTAGTAAAATTTTTAATTTTTGAAAAAACAAAATGAATTAAATCACACAATAATGAATTAATTAAAAAAATTAGTTTCGGTGTCCTGGAGTTTGCATAGGAAATCAAAACTTATAAAACATAGTACTGCTTGCAACTAGTGATAGGATGCTGCAAATTACGTTTACTATTGAGCAACTTTAGTAAAAAGTAGATATAACAAGCTTCTCTATTAACTGAATTTAGGCCTAAAAATACAAATGCTTTACTTTTTAAGTGCAAAGTATTCACACCAGAAAACTGTTCAGCATTTTAAAAATAGAAACCTGTAGTGTCAGCTGTAAATCTATATGCTAGTGTCAAAATTATTAATTAAATAAGTTATTCTTAACAATTATCCCCGTATCTGAGTGTATTACCAGTGACTCTTTAATGAGTAGGAGACGTAGGTGTAATGGAAAAGTTTTGTACTGATGAAGCCTTTGTATAGTACTTACAAAATTGATTTTCTAAATGAAATGACTGATGCTTATCTTATTATGATATTGTGGCACAGACCAGTATAGTTGACAAGAAATATGTATCACATATTTAGGATGAAAACCAGGTGTTGAGTGATTCTGATCTGACTTTAGTGGTAAATTATTACTTTTACAGTATGGCACCTAATGTTGATTCTTACTTGAAAATATGCATACACGATGTTGTCATAAAAGTAAATATGATAACTCATTTGAAATATATTTTCTTTGTTATTTTAATTTTATTCTATTTCTCACTTTATAGGGTCTAGGAAACTTGAACAAAGTACTAATTAAGTAAGTGAATGAGTTTTTTATAATACATAGGGTTACCAGGAACTTAAATTTTTTTGTGAAGTTCCATCATTGAGAAACTAGATCCCAGCTGGAGGCTTATAAAAAATTCTAAAGTAAAGAATTAGTAACAAAGGAAAAGTTAAATAGCCTTATGTGCCACATGTAATTATTCCATTGTGCTTTTAGATTGTGTGATGTTTCTGTTTTAAGTTGATGCACTATCTTTTTATTAACACAGGATCTCTCCCTCAACTAGAGGCAAAGTGGTGTTTTTAGGTGGCAAGGAACAAGAAGTGCTAGTAAATTTCTTTGGAGGTGTGGAATACATCATTGGAGAGTACAAAATCTGCTGTATAAAAATTTGCAGTTCATATTATGGTAGCATATTTCAATTGGAAATTATGAGCAATAAAAAAAATGTGGTTTCCAAAATTCTGCACCAGTAGCCTTACCAGCAACAGTCACACACAAGAATGGGTTATCTGTTTCTTGATTCTCAAATCAAATTATGAGAACTGTCTGCATTGTCTTTTGGGGTTGGAAACCTTGTTCTGGCTGAAGGCTGCTACTACTACTATTACAACTGTCTTTGTCAGCACCAAAACTATTTTTCAGTGCCACCACAGCATCTTTTTACGTGATAGATGGATCAACAAGGGATATCAAAAAAGACAATTATGTCGCATCCAGAGCAGTTGCACAAGCTTGAATTTGAACATTTCATAACCTTGCACATGCAAGTAATTGAGGGAATAATGGTGATTGATGATTACATGCTGAATAGTAACAAAATATCAGCCACCCTCAATGGGACTTGGAGCTATTTGCTAAAGATCTATTGGACTTTAGTCTAAAAAACAGATGCAGTGATGTGCAATGAAGAAGACTCACATAGCAGACCCACTGGTTGCACAACACAAAGCACTGTCATTAAGTATGAGATGTGCTGATGATGTGACCAGTTATAACTCAGTGAATGTTTGTTCAATTTGGAAACTGTAAATTTAATTGCCATATTGTATGCTACATCATATGTAAGTTTCACCAAAATTGGATGAATCCTAGATTATTTATATCTGATCCTTGCCACTTAGATGCTTCTGGTTGAAGGAGAGATCCTGAGTTAAAGTGAAAGTCTGTGAATATTTTTAATGATCAGTTTAATGTAACAATTCTCATGAATGTTTGAAACCTCATAAAAAAGTGAATACCATTAACTGTTAATAAAGAGTTAAAAACATTTTTATTGCTAATGAAGATTCATTTTACTTATTTTTCCACTGTGAATTAGTAAAGAAAGCTTCCTATGTAGGTAATATTTTTATAATAACATAACATTAAAAGATACCAAGGAACCTTTTGATCCATCTGGCTGTTCTATCGACTAAATTAATCTAAACCAAGAAAAAAAAATCCTCAAAATCAGCCCTTATCATTTAAATATTTATCAAGCTTTCCTTTAAACTATTTTAAATTAACTGTATCCACCACATTCAAAGGCAACCCATTCCAAAGGCCATCCTGTTAGATTACAACCCTACCAAAATTTATGTCTCCTATTCTTACCATTAAATATGAAAAAAGTTGATGCATCAATACTATTAATTCCCTTAACAATCTTAAACACCTTGATCATCCCCCTTCTAACTCTTTCTTTTTTTAAGGGGAAAACAAATATAGAGATCTTAACCTATCCTCATATCATAACATTTCATCCTAGGTATCATCCTCTGAACCTTTTCCAATAATTCAATGTCCTTTCTGAGGTAAGGAGTCTAAGACTGAACACAACACTCCAAATGACATTATAACCTCTATAGACTTGTATTCAATATTTCTGTAGATACAGGAGCAGATACAGAATGTTTTCAAGGGTGCAGTTCAGCCTGTAAAAGGGCACACATTTAACAACAATAATGCAGGAGTGTTTCAGAGGAAATTCGCTGGTTCGATCAATAGTCAACATTGAAAATATAGGTTTTCATAACATGCTTGTTTTAAATTTCCACTTATTATTCTACTAAATGCTTTAATTTTTCTAGGGTTGTGCTTAGTGATTTTAGGTATAACAGCTGTTAAATCTTCAAAGTAACATAATTCTCATGTATTAGGACAATTTGATGTGTGCATACACACACTTATTGACAAAATAATCAGCATTTCAAAATGATGTCTATACACAACTTCATATATGAACAAATTCAAGCTTAAAAAAAGAACTACATATATCAAATTGCATAAAAGAAACTATATAAAAACAAATAATTTCACAATTATTTCCAACCGCAGAAAGTGATGCTTTGTATTTGGAGGTACATCAAAGAAGTAATTCATTTCGAACTCCTCAATCCACAGCAAACTGTCAATGCAGAGATCTATAGTCAGCAAATGAAATGTTTAAATCAAGCCCGTCATCAGAAATGCCCTTCTCACGTCAATAGGAAAGGTGTTCTTTTCCACAAGAATACATGTCCACATGTGGCGTGTTTGACGCAACACAAGATTATGGAGTTGGGTTGGGAAGTTCCCCTCCACCCACCATATTCTCCAGATATGGCACCATCAGATTACAATCTTTTTCATTCCCTGCAGCACCATCTTAATGGGAAAACGTATGCAAATGTGGAAGGTGTTAAAGACGACATCAACATGCTTTTTGCTTCAAAGCCAAGTGATTTCTTTAATCAGGGCATTAACAACCTGATTGTAAGATGGAAAAGCATCATCGATAAGAATGGAGACTATTTCATTTAATAAATGTTTTGTTTTGACATATAAGTTGTTCGGGTTTTTTCATCTATAAAAAAGGGGACATTAATATAATGGCAGAAATAAAGTAGAGGAATGCAATCCAATCATTCTAAGTGAAGATGAAAGAAAACTACTTGAAGTAAACATCCAATAGATACAACTTATTCTAAAGGATGAGTTTTGCAACTTAGACAAATGTAACTGATCCAGTGAAGTAATTTTTTTTTCAATCTCTTTGGAACACACTTCTTTAATTATTACACCTGTGAATAGTTTATATTCAGAAGTAAGTTATGATAGTTGTGGAAGGTGAAGATTACTATATTGAACCTTGGAAAATGATCTGGAGCTAGGGAAGGCTGAAATTAAGCTTAGGTTTAATTAGCTTTACTATTTGTCATTTTATTGGATTTATATATTTAATCAGTTATTTAAAAATCCTTTTACTGATTGAAATTTCTTGTACTTTATTTTTATAAAATCTAAGTTAGAGTGTGAGTCAGACTGATGTTGTCAATTGAAAGACATATTTTGAGTACAAATACTTTTGTAATTTACTTATAGAGTTTACTAAAAGTTAGTCACACTTCACGTAGGTACATTTAGTAAATTGAAATTTTATAGTCAATAGTCCTTCTCCAGTATGAGGACAGTTCATTAGACAATGCAAATTTGTTTGAATGTAAAGTATGTTTTAAGGAAATTATAAGTTATCAAATACTACTCGCCTTTAAAATCCTTGATATACCAGTTCTGAGCTTGGTATTATTATAAATGTGTGTACTAGTTCACTTGATTTGTGAGTGTAATTTTAAAATTGTAATAGAATGTCCTTACAAGCTTCTTACAAGTGTTTTTATAAAAATATAAGCAGATTCTACATATCTGTTAATTAGCATGATTGAGTATTTTTTGATGATAAAATCCTACAGTCTTACATGACACCATATTTCACTTGTCTCAAACTAATTGCCCTGGGGTACTAGCTTGAATTGCTAATAAGTGCTTCACTAGCATTAGCTAATTGCTTAAATCCTTAGCTCATTTGGTAGAACATTGAACATGTGAGAGATCTTTGGTTTGATCTTGAGCTGGTGATAAAACAAATTGATAAGTGATTTAGAGTTAGTTCTTTTACTGTGACTTTATGAGTACTGTTCTTTTGATTTAACATGAAAGCTCAATCTTTTTATTTTGTATTTTCAGTGGATTTGGTATGCTATATATTACTGATAGTACAGTGCCCAATGGTGATGAGTATTATAATCAGTTAACACTATGCCAAATCTCTGACAAATCTTCTACATCAAGTTTCTCTAACATTTTAATGTCTAATGAAGAATGGAAAAAGGTAAACTTTCAAAAAAAAATATTATGGAATTATTTGTTATTATAAGAAAATGAATTAGAAATTGTTTTGTTTTGTTGTGTTCTTTATGAAATTTGATTTCTTTAAGTTTTCATGTTTATAATTTTACAACTAATATTAAAGTAATATTCTTTTTTAGTTTCTTGTTGGCACAAAGTTAGTGAGATTATTATATTTATTTGAAAATCTTATAAATACTAGAAATTATAGTATAACAGATGATGATAAACAAAAACAGCTTTTGAAACAAAATAGTTAAGGTATTGTTTAAAAGACACAGAGAATTGTTAGGAGTTGGTCATAACAAAAACTTAACAGCTGAGGTGCTCATTAAAAATGATTGTTTAGGTTTAAACTAAGGACAGCTTTTTAGGTCAAATTTTACCACTTCACGCAAACTGAAAATGACATTGTGTTATTTAAGGACCAGTTTACAAATTCTTCCTTTCAAAGAATTAGGGTAGTGTGAAAATAATGGTTCTATGTATAATTTAAAAGTTGTAAAAATCAAAAGATGGTCAGCATCTATCACTCAGATAATATTAGTTATGTCTAAACTCACTTGAATTTCCCATGACTTCACACTCTAACTTTGTAGTCAGTTTGCAAACAAATTCATCTTATCAAGCAACCTATTAATACAAGAACCAAATATTATGCATAGATAAAAACAGTATCTTTAAAGTTTAAGGAGTGGGAATAGAACACAATTTTTTCACAAGATATAATAATAAGTTTTTCAGAATAATTTTTTGTTTTGTTTTTTCTAAACTTCTTCATCACTAAATACCATATTATACTGCAAGGAGTCATACATTTAATACTGATGCCAATTGATTCTCCTGTAATCTTTGCTGTTTTCACCATATTATAAGTTAGAAATGATGAAAGGCTTATAATATCACTTGAATAAGCTAAGTTATCTTAGTCAAAGTGATTTCAGAAAATACTAGGTCTTTAATTTACAGAAATTATTATTCCTAAATGAATTTTTGTCCCAGTGTAAATGAATATTTGTTAATTTTTTATGCTGTACTTTAAATAAATTACCTTAAGAACTGTTTGGGTCTAAAACACATTTGAAGATCAACAATATATAAAATATATTTGTTACGTCTCTGTTCGTTTGTTAATTTTCCGTATAATTTGTTTCTGATGAAACTTCAGTGACACAAGTCCTTTCTTAAATAAAGCTAGTTTATTACCTCTCAATACAACTTTGCAATAAACTTAATTTCCACAGTCACTTTAGCTTAAACACACGCTATAATTCACAATGATTCACTTGACTCAATTATCCGTCTCTATCTGTCTGCAATTATCTATATCGTCACTTCTCGCCGGTCTTATATATACACAAAATAGGGGGCGTCTCGAGCCTTCAGGAACCTTCTAGATACTCATTACGTGTTACCAGAATCACGTGACTTCCGCTGTTGTGACACCACGACCAGACATGATCCTTCTAGAATCTCATGCCGTGTTACTAGCGTCACGTGACTTTCGCTGTCGTAACACTGCCCCTTCCTTAGTATTGTTTGTCCCAAACAATAGCCACTTAGAAAATTAACAATAACTTAATTAAATGTACAGAACTTACAAACACAAAATTCAAATTCAACAAAGTCTCTTAAATTTACGGAACGTATCTTCTTCCATACTGGCCTCTGCTTCACATGAGATTCATCTGCTCCATCTGTACTATTATTGGTAATAGTCACATTAGTGGTAGTAACTTCATGAAGGGCTTCACTGTTTCCCTACTCAAAA